TTTAATTTTAATAGGTGAAGGACTAAAAGTGTCATAATATAAGGTAAAGGGCTAAAACCTACAAATTTAGTAAGATGAAAAGTTAAAAGTGTCATAATCTAAAATAATGGGTTAAAACCTTCAAACTTGATAAGTTGAGAGGGCTAAAATAGGCTTTTGCCTATATACGAAGAGCAGTTTCATACTAAGCATTTACTCGAATGACAGTTTCTGTTGATTAACATTTTTGGGGGAATAGAACACATTAAGATACACTTTTTTTTTTTTGGTGAGAAGGATCCAAGAATCACAAATAGAATCAAACAAAACAAGTGATATATGAGTCAGCATCCGAAACAATCCCAGCAAAACAGAAAGCCAATTAAAGGATTTTATTTCAAAACCCAATAATTATGTGCTGATTCATTATTCATAAAATGAAACTTCTGCATGCTTGGAAGATTATCAGCCACGCAGGTAAGCTATCAAAATGCAATGCAGCCTATAATTGGATGACTCTTGAGTTCCATTACAACTCATGTTTGCGCTCGATGAAAATGCAGCATCATAACAAAGAAACATTTACAATGTGACATTTAAGTGTTGTGGTGCAGTAGTTCCTACCTACACATGTCAACGGAACAACCATAACCCAGCATCCCAAGATTCCCAACACGAGAACCCCATTTTGTTGAAAAAAACTTCAAACCTAAAATGAAAGAGCCTACTGCCTTAATGAATCATCAACATCTTCAATCAATTAAAACCAATAATGAAACAATTACTTATGGATGGGTGTGTTCAGGGCTTGTTCTAATCCTTACTATACACCCATTCTAATACTAACTATATCACAAAGAAAAACCACATTCTCAAATAATTTATTGATTCAGACTTTTAAACATATAATACCCTAACCAATTGTAGCCAAATTGAGCCCCTATGTTTGGATGGACATTCTGGGATGTAAACTTTGCTGTTGACGTGATAAAAGGTAGTGATAGAACGTTTAAACCAATGACCCACAAGGAGAATTTGTTACTAATAAGCAGAACAAAAATTCTTTCAATTTCTATATGCTAAAGAAATATCATTAATATAATGTTTAGACTTCCCCTGAGCTCAACACAAGTTAACTTAACAAAATGATTAGGTTTCCAATTTCATAATGCCAGTTATTCTACATGTTAAACTTCGGCAGTTATCAACTCCTGTATGAGTTATGAATAATATAGTTCTTCATTATATAACCAAGTTTTCTATGATGCTTCCATCTTTTCCATTTTACCAACTAGAGAGGATAGCAGTAATGTTATTTTCCCATGTAACTTCCATCTTTGTCATTTTATCAACCATGTAGGCAAGTTGTAACCTTTAATTAAACACTAATGTGTGGATCCACAATTATTGGCTTATAACATAAAGACACCATCATGGGAAATTCCAGGAACACATATTTTCCGTTTTATAAGAGTTCTTCCCGCCATAAATGCAAATTAAGCATAGCTATTACACAGTAATAATGAAAAAAATGAGCATATCATCCCTAACAATGCAGACAGTTTAGTTTGAAGAAACCAACTATAGCAATTATCTGACATATTGCAACAAACCAAACAAACCAAAATCTGTGTGTACCTCTAGCAGGCCTGAAGGAACAACTAATTGGAAGTTCTATAAAATCCACAATATGCAGGTAACCTCCTCAACCTGCTTGCTTTGAGACTGCAGTAACATTTGTAGACAATGTCAAAAAGGATTCTAGAGCTTAGTTAGAGCTTGAATCTTCTCGTATGATTAACCATAAAAAAAACTAAACAAATAAATTGAGAAGGAAATGCTCCTTTTAAAGAGCGTAAGTTCATACATAACCAAATAAAACATAACATCAGCAAGCCAAACAAGCACGACATATTCTATTAAAGGTTCAAGCATCATGCATGGTCAAATTTAGCAAATTTCAAAATCAAAGTTAAAAAAACCTAGGGAACATATGCAACACTTAACCTAAATCCCCTAATGTATCCTAAAAAGTTCACACAAGCAAATGAAGAAAGCATGCCATTCATCACTAATTTCCTTAACACATATAGGCTTTTTCATGTAGATGTATTAGGCCACAAAGATCCAAGAACCAAGATCCAAAGTGGATCAAATGGATCTTTCATAAATAAATTCAATCCCTACTTTTGGAGGATGGTTAACAAAATGATTAAAAAAAATGATGCCCTAGAGTTTATTCTCCCAGTCCCTTTTGAAAGGATCTGAATTACAAGAAACAGCTTTTAACCTATAACTAGAACCAGGGTTTTTATAGAAAAGAGCATGCATGAGAAAATTTAGACAATAGAGAGGAGATGAAGAGAACTTAATAACAACTAAAACTACTTTTTTAAACATAAGAAAACCATATTATATAACTGTTCATCAGTAGTAGTTTTACAAGACGTTTATCATGAGCATGACATCAAGGCATTCCTCCTCCACATCCATATGAATATATAAGTAGCTCTCCACAATGTAATTAAAACAACACTAAAATATCAGTGTAAGTTAGTTCGGCTCCTATTAGAGAGAAAATCCCTCATACATGGAAAAAAGAACCTAATCCCACAACAATTTTACACAGCTAAATTAATAATTACCTTCAAAATACAATGGTTACTGTCAGTTTCTTTGTCAGTGAAATCCTAAAAACATTGCCTCCACTTCACACCAACAGTCTCTTGCAAGCACAATGTGAATATTAAAAAAGATTGTAACTGATAATGGGAACTGAATCCATATTGTTTAAAAGGATAGTATAAGATTCAAAAATATAATAAGAATGTTTACAATGTTCCAGAAAAACCATTTTACATGAGTTTCTGCCGAAACTGACCTTTTAAAAAAATAAAGGCTGTTATGCCACACCTTGCAGCACAAGCATTGTCCATGGCGCATTTGTAATTGATAACCAAAGCTGGAGAACTTAACACGCAAATGTCTTGCTAACAGGAGACCAATTATATGCCCACCCAAATTACAGTTGGTGCCTGCTAAAAAACAGCATGAATGATTTTCAAACCAAAACCATCACTAATTCCATTGAATGCAGTCTCTCACCTCAACCATAACTATCTGAGAACAATTTCGAAACCTTAAGCTTGAAGATCAGATGGCACTGCTCACTTAAGGTTCTTTCAGCTAAACAAGCCACCAGTTCCTAGTTCCAGTTGCTGCAACTCCTTTCTACGCTGTTCTTCCAAGGGATCTGGACTCTTCAATTTTCTTTTCATTCGCCTAGCCATAAAAATCAAAGTATTTACTCAAAAAATGGAAAGAAAATTGACAGTTAAAATAACTGCATAATGCCGATATCTGTATGGCTTTAATCTTAAGTACCTATCTTGCGCATTTTGGGCAGGGAAGGTAGGCATGAAATCTTTAGACTTGGGAAGCGGAACTTCACAAAACCATTCATGATTAAGAGCAGCTTCAGCTGTTATCCGCTGCAAGAGAAAAAGAAAAGGGCTTGCAACATCATTCCAATCCAATTATATAGAAATTTAAGTGAAGTATTTGCAGAAACATAGTTATTTACCTTCTCAGGATCATAAGTGAGAAGTTTATTCAACAGATCAAAGCCAGCATCAGAGAGAACAGGTGATCCAGTAAAAGATGTTGCTGGGAATTTCTTACGCAAAAGATTATACCTGGAGGAAAAAACGTCAGTAGTTAATAAAAATAAGAAATAAATTCCGTTTCACTGAAATGTCACCAATGAAGGCCAGAAAGCCAGACCAGAATCACCCAAAGCTGGAAGCCTGGGAAAACAGTGGGAAGAAAAAGAAAAGCTTAATATCATGGTCAACATTAGACTAAAATAATTTTATGAGAGATTAAGTACTCACTGGTGCTTGACAAAGTTGACTTTAAATAAAGGCAGCTTTGAAACCCCTGGCCAAATTGTCTCATTTGGTGTGCCAAGAGTTCTAAAAATCTTCAGTCAAAACGAACAGAACAAAATTAGAGCACTGACATCACTGTGATTTGGCATTGTTGCAGCAATAAAACTACATGGATTTCAAAAATCAAGAAGTTAGTTAACTGATTAAACTCACCTTGTCAAGTTGATCACCTTCAGATTTCCCATTGAAAAGCGGTTCCTTTGACAATAACTCAGCCATAATACAGCCTAGGGACCACATGTCAACTGCAGTTGAATACTGCTTCGCACCCAAAAGCAGTTCAGGTGCCCTGCAAGATCAGCAGAAAGAGTTGTTACTTGTTCCCTACGTGAATCCCAAATTAAATGCATTACCAATTTATCAAGCACACAAAAAAGGTTGCACCAAATAAACACTGAAGTTTGCATGTAGAGAAATGACTAGCTTTTTCAACTAAGTACATCGTTTAACGGTTAAGTCTGATCAGTTCTATAAAATCCATAATCAACAACTTGTCTAACTGGAAGTACAAAGTTTATCAGTCTCAAGAACATATAGAGTGCAAAAACAATATCAATATGCGAAAAGCATAAAATTTATCAAAACAAATAGCAGTAACAAAAAATGCCAAGAAGTCACAGAAAATACATCTCAGCCATAACACAGGAAATATATAGCAGACAAACTCTAGCTCACATAACCATCATAAATTAAAATTTTACAGCTCATTAGCACATAGTGTTTACTCACATAACAAGAGGAAAAAATGTTCTTAACATGATTGGCAACTTGAAAACGAGATTACAGGTTGATCACAATTTCACATGATGTTAGCCAAGACAATAAATAAATTCGTTGCAAAAGAAAAGAACACCACATTCATAAACCATAAAAAAAAAGAATAAAAAAGGAAGAAGGAAGGTTTGATTTAAAACTTACACTTAGTTAGAAATAACTCTCTGAAAGGACAATGGGCATTAACTGTGATATATTGAAAAGGAAAGATGTGGAGCCTAGCTCACCTGTACCAAAGAGTAACGACCAGAGAAGTATATGGCTTCAATGGGCTTCCATATTGGCGAGCCAACCCAAAATCACAAATCTTCAATTCACCCCGGTTATTCAAAAGAAGATTAGATGTTTTTAAATCCCGATGAAGCACCCAGTTGTCATGAAGATACTTAACCCCCTCCAGTAGCTGAAGCATCAGACACTTAACTTCACTTTGACTAAAAGGCTGCTTCATCGACTCCATTAGACCTTTAAGATCATGTTCCATGTATTCCATAACCATAAAAATGTTATCGAGGCTACTACCTACAACAACTTCTTTAACATCTACTATTGACGGATGATGAAAAGAGAGAAGAATGTTTATTTCCCTTAAAGAAGTCAGTGGAAAACCTTCTCTCTCTTTCTCCATCTTTACCTTCTTCAATGCTACTATTTCCCCTGTCTTCTTATCTCTAGCTCTAAACACAACACCATAAGTGCCTTCATCTATCTTATTTAGTTTCTCAAATTCATCAACACTCCTACATCCCTGAAGCATATTTATATTTCTTTGTGGAGGAGATGCAGGTTCTGGTGTCCCCTGCGAATCACTTTCATCCCCAGTATCAATATCAGACTGGCTAGCACTACTTTCAGCTTTATTATATAAATTGTCAATCTCCACATAATATTCCTTCCCCAAGTCATAACCTATGTAACCATCCCTGCTACCAGACCTAGAACGGGCATCTTGTTCATCAGAAGATGACCTTCCTCTAACTACTTCAGAGCCTTCCCTCCTCAGCAAGCCAAGCTCAGGAGTTGCTGACTTATTCTGTGCTCTGTTTTGCAATGATTCTGAAGCAGGCATCTTCTTCCTCCTTTTAGGCCTCTCCTCTACAACAAAAATTTCACCTTCATCAACTGGAGAACTGTCACCAGATGCCCATCTTGAGGAAGATATGTTCCGGGTTGGTACATAATCTTCATCTTCTAGACTCTCTACTTCCTGACTATTACCCCATTGCTGGTCATCTGTTGGTGATGGAGCAAACCCTACAGGAGACTCTGAAGCAGTCACAGCAGGAACCTCACCTTGTGAAGAAGTCATCAACTTCTGGCTTTTACTGTCTCTAATAGGTGACATTTGTACACCACCATCTGGAATGGGGTCAGAGGACTCATGGTAAGCCCTAGGTAGGGATGGTAGAGGAGGAAGAGTAATAATAATGGGTGATTTCCTATTTCTTGAAAAATTGTTTACTTCCTTATCATCTCTATCCCAGACTATAGGGGAAAACTTCCTTTTCCTTTCCACAGGAGACAGGGCACCATTCTCTGTTACCTTCACAGATTCAGTAGCTTTAACCTGTAATTCCGAGTAAATGGCATCCTCAGATCCACTCTCACTAGACAACTCACCAGGCTCCCTATCAACAGCCCTAGGAGTAAAATCGGAACGCCCGGGCCCACGGTTTCCACTCCCACTACTACCAGAATCACTCCTACCAGAAGAAGAACGATACCCACCATTTGTCACTTCCCTCTCCTTAATATCCTTTTGTCTAACCCTCACTCTATCTCTAACATCCTGTGCACGACTCCGTTCAACATCACGGCTATCATTCCTATTCTGATTGTACTCCTTCGAATTAATAAGCTCCCTCCTTGATACATCAGATTCCCGGTCCCTAAACTCATTATCATGATAACCACCATATTTCCCGGCCGCCATATAGAAGACCAAAAACTCCAAAAACCCAAATCCGCCAATCGTAATACAAACACCCAGGAAAATCTTTTTCTCAACAAACCCCTAAACCCCAAACAAAACCAGATTCCTTCCAATAAATTTTTTTAATTTCACAAAAAAAAAAAATTAAAAAAACCTAGGATAAACAATTGGAAACACAAAGAACCACGAAATTGAGCAAGAAATCAGTAAAACCACAACAATTTAAACCAGATCTTCGAATTCCGAGCTATTCAGCGCGAAAATTCGAAGATAGAATGGGGAACCCTAGCAATTAAAACACATATTGAGGAACCTTAAATCTTTTTGAAAGAAATTGAGTGGGTGACAAAAAGTATATGAATCTTGATGGAAATTGATTGGTGGAGACGCAACTGATTGAACGGAGCTTACCGACCGGTGGTAAGGAGAAGAGCGACGGCAAGCAATGGTTGCGGAGAGAAGAGGCAGAAAAGGAGACCTCGAAATCGGAATCGGAACTGGAATCGAGAGATTGTAATGGAACAGGCGAAAAAATAAATTTAAAAAAGTAAGAGTGTTTGTCTCCAAAAGAAATATACTTAAAGATATGCCTTTATTTTAGCGGCGGAAGGTGCAATTTAGCTCCTCTAGATATAATGTTGTAGCAGATGACCCCCTCTAGTTTTTTAATTGGCATCCCCACCCGCTCCTATTACAAAATCATGCATAGGAGCCCTTTTCACTCCGATGACCACATGACTCAGTTTACTAAGTGGATATGTAGTTAGCAATTTTCTCAAATTATTTCAACTACTTAAATTATTATTTTGTTAAGGCAATGACTTAATTAAAACAACAAAACAATATTTTTTAAGTTAAATTGTATTTTAAAAATATAGTTTAACT